TGGAGGTAAGTCGTCGTGTGTTTGGGAGTCTATCAGGTATAAACCTGCTGGCACACCGAATTCAGATAAGTAGACTTCGCTGGCTAGGACACATTTTGCGTATGCCCAGCTGTTGTTTGCCGCACCGCGCCTTATTCGCTGTAGCTAATCCGGACTGGGAAAAACCACGTGGAGGTCAACAGATGACGTGGAGACGGGGCATGAAGAAATGCACAGAGCCATTAAGTAGAGTAGGTGTCTCTCGCCTTCCAGGTTGAGGTCCAAAAGACTCCACAACTGGTTGATTGGAGACATTGCAGGATATGGCAGCGAACTGGCAGCAGTGGCGTTCTTGTTGGCATTTCTTATGCGGACAGAACGCTTGAAACAGTCAGTATGTTGACCATAGTGGTTCACCTTCTTCTCTCTCCCTCAAAATAGATCCAATCCCTATCCACCTTAAATTTTACCACTAACCTTGTATGCAACACGAGCTAAGCAGCGATTAGTGAAGGTCGCTTCAGTGTACTCCACTTCACGATGATGACGATGATGTTGCCTATCGCACGACGTCTTATTTGCAGTTACCGCTGGAGACTGGAGAAATTCACGTGAAGGCCAGAAGATGATGTGGAGAAGAGACATGAAGAAAAGGTTGAAGTTATACCGAATCGATACCGTTCTTACAAATTCTCACTTACCTTGTATGCATTATTAGTTTGGGAGAGATCTGTGGAGTTCGCTCTACTGTATTACGATTTACAGGAATGATGACGACTATGATGATGTTTGAACTGCCGTGCGAAAAACAATCAATTGCACAGCAAGCGTTCATTTGTTAACCATTTCCTGATTGAGTTCCGGAATCAAAGATGAAGCATCACAGAACCCTATTTTGACGAGATTATGTCCCCTTTAGTAATTGGTAAAATCGCTGTTACTGTCTGATCGCATTTTATTTTGAAACAACACTGTTTGCTCTGTAATAGCTCGGAATTCGAGGCTGGTGCAGCTGATTTTTGTATGACCATCAAAAAACCGGGATAGGGACAATTTAGGAAAGTAGTGAGAAACTAACCTTCGAAATTAAAGCTTCCTAATGTTCGCAAAGCCAAAGCCACCACAGCTACTTCAGGCGATAATTCACTGGGCGGAAGTGTCCCAAACCGCAAAGACACACCGCCCAGGTCAGAACCAGTGGCAGTAGTACATGAAATGCCACAGTTTGCAGTTCGAGTTAAATGAGATTTTCCATGTGTGTAGAATATCACACGTGAAACAGCTGAAGTCGCACTGGAACTCGTTGTATTGCCTCCAAGAGGCACGTTTCCCGACCCCGCCAGTGTCCCAGTTGATCCGGAAGCCGGAACGGCCTGATTGGAGGATGAGTTTGTCGCCCCAATCAAAGGTCCGATCAAACTTGTCAGTGCACCAGGCAAATTGGGGATAAACGACAAAACTGTGGGTACTGTGTTGCCAGGCTGTGAGTTCTGGGTTTGTCCAAAACTCGACCCGCTGTTGTGCATAAGGACGAGGCTGATATCACTGAGAATACGATCCTATATTTCAAATGTAAAAGAGCAAAGTAGGTTGAAGAGAATGTCTTCATGGTGGTTATAAGGCTTATTGATGACGAATAGAGGCTATGCCTACCTGGATCTCCTTACGCAATTGAGGTATGTGCTCCGTGATCAATCTGCATGTGGAAATCAACGGTTGATTCAGACCAGAAGTGACCATAGCATCCAAAACCTGTTTGATCGGTTCATGCAGAGCCGAACCCAATGATTTGACCAGTATACCGATGCTGAGAATCGCCGCAGTCTCCAATGGGGCCGAACGTTTCCTTTGGGATGATAGCATAAGCAACCAAGAGGATGCATATGACGAAAAGTGAACGACTCACAACATTATTATTACTATTCGCAGAATATTCCTCATAGAGAAAAAGGTATCCACGAAGAAATTTCTTTCCTATGTATCACATCAGGCGGTTACATATATAAGGCGATCAGTGATATAAACTGATCGATAATCAGGCAATCTGTATTATTTATATTATAATTATTATTAATAAAAATAATAATTGAAATGCAATAATCAATAAAATATTGTACATGTATAATACCTGAACAGAGTTCAGGTGTGGTTTAAATGCCCAGTGGAAGCCAACCTACAAATGTAGTCACTAACCGAACAAATAAACTAACAGAGGAAACTGAATTTCTTCAGCGGAGCTAAATCCCTCCCTGGTGATCGAACCCCGGACCTCATGGGCAGAACGCAAGCATGCTACCCACTCGGCCACTGGGCAGCTGATCAGACCGTTTTTCATTTTTCATTTACACCATATAGCATAACCCATCTTTAAGAGCTTGTTGTGGGCCATAGACTCTGCACATCTCAGCACTGGCTTCCAGGGTTATGACTCAGTTGGAAACTTTCACAACCTGACTGTGGCCCGCAACAAGCTCGCAAAGATGGGTTGTGCTTTATCATGTAAATGGAAAGTGAAAAACGGTCTGACCAGCTGCCCGGTGGCCGAGTGATTAGCATGTTGGCGTTCTGCCCATGGGGTCCCCGGTTCGATCCCCAGTCGGGTAGATAGATTTACACGCTGATGAGACCCAACCAGGTCGAAAAATCTGTCCAATGCTTCCTAGCTTTTCAGTTCATGCTTCATTTGCTATATACACGACGAATTTATCTTTAAAATTGAATCAAATTCTCCATTACCCACTTGAAAACACTTATTTTTCTTTTCAGTTTAGTTCAGTTCTTACAATCATTAACCATGCACTTTCGTGCGCCGGTTTTGGTTGCCCGTTTGGATAAAACAGAAGAATAATGGCTAGCATGTCGATAGCAGATTCAAACGGAAGATAACGCATTTACATAGACTGAAGTTACAAGAATAATGAGTAGATGCATGAGCGCCACTGTTTGCGACACCCAGCCATATCGCTCAGTGTCTCTAACCATCGTTGACCATGATCTCAGAGTCCCCAGCCAGGGAGCCTAACGGTACTTATGTGAGCCGGTCTCCTGGTTAGGATTTTCATACCCTCATGCCAGGTCTTAGTTCGACCGCCCTTGATCTTTTTCCAACCGCTACCTGCCTCGGCAAACATCGCTCACCGTGGCAACCTATCTGGTGACATGCGTAACACATGCCCCAACCAGCGTAACCTATGAAGGTCGACCGCTTGCTCCAGTGGATGACCTTGATTAACTAAAACTCTACGCCTAACCTCATCATTTCTCGTCCGGTTTCCCCACCAGACTCGTGCAATGCTGCGTAAACAGCGGTATTCGAACACCAACAATCTATTTTTATCCTGTTCCCGTACTTAATGAATACAAGTTGGTGCAATCAGGAAGGGGGCTGCGGCCAATCAGTCTGCCTGAGGCAATACAGAAACAGGGAAGATGAGCGGTGGTGGCGGGATTTGACCTCACAACGTTTGGGGTGTTGGAACGGTAACTTTAACCGTTTGCTCAAAGCCGCCATACTAAATTCAGTTTGGACGGTTAGGCTCAGCAGTCTGCTTGCCTTCCAAAACGGTAAGGAAGAAGGCATAGATTTGACGAGACAATGTATGCCAAGGAAAACAATTCGGTAGAG